TACTAAAGAACACAGACGTATGACTCACAAGACAATCAGATTTAGAGCAAAAAATATATAACTGAATCTAACAAACCGTGCTTCTTCATTAGCTCAAGTTTCCTAACATACTCAATCTAATGAAAGGACTGAGGTATTTGTGTTTTTTATAAATTTATAGCTACACAGCGGTATGTACTTAGATCACACATGTGAAAGGCACTGCATTTGTACCCTCTGCAACAACAAATAAGAATTCTACTACAGCTAAATTTGGATATTTCCCCCACGAGGAGGTAAAATGACTTCATATTCAACATGGATTGAACATGTGTAAAAGACACTGTTTTACATATGTTTAAACTGTTTGCTCCCATCAAGTTGCTGTGGTGATTTAGTGTAGTCCTATGGGGATTTAGATTGCACTGACAAAAACGCACAGGCAGGAGATTTCTCATCAGAGGCGGAGACTGATCGTCTTCTGAAATACAAAAGACATTTTCATTTTAAAATGTACATAATTTTATATACATTTTACAATGTTTATAATGTCTCATGTTTGGATGATTTTTCTACATTAAAGCGCAGTACGTTGTCTGTTCCACGTCCTCAATAGTCTCCGGCAAACGCACATTGTACGTCTCAGGGAGCAAAGAAGCTGACAGTCCGGAGCCTAAAGCCACCAGGGAAAAAACAAAACTTGGCAGATTCACCCACACGTCTTCAAGGAGCATGATCAAGGGGGATACAGCCACACCTACACGGGCCATAAAGGAACAGTATCCCAATCCATTTTGCCTAGATTACAAAAAGAAGAAAAAATAAAACAAATGTTGTGCTCTGATTATCAGGCAGCAAAATAAAAGACAATGTGCATTTTACTGACCTCATTACTGTGGGATAAAGCTCCGTTGTGTACAGAAAAACGATTGTAAAAGAGCCCTCTGAAAACATCTTGCCTAAAGCTCCCACAGCTGTCCGAAGATCCCCCCTATCTGAAAAGAAAACACTATAATTCACCTTGTGTTCTAGCTAAGACTTTTCACTGAATTTATTAGAAGATTAAATACTACAAACGCTTTAATTTAGCTCATACAGATAATGGGGTCATCCCATATTCAACTAATTATAATGAGCTAAAAGTTCAACCTTCAGACTAAACACTGAACATCTTAGATGTTTTGTTTCTAATTTATTATGTCAGATATGGGGGTAATTACTAATTCAACAATCTACTGTTTAAAGAAAACTGTTTCACGGGAAGAACTACATTGAAGAGGAGCTAACATGGTTTACTTCAGACACTGGATGAACTGGGCTGCGCCAAGACTAGAACAATGAATTTTTATGAACTAGCAGCTTGAATCATGCAAAACTACTCCAGAACAAGAGTGAATTATGTGTAGTCTTTGTCAGTCTGGTCAAAGAATCATGGCTTGGTGCATGTGACAAATAATATAATACTAGAAAGTAAGCTAATAAACTAAAATGAATACATCTACACATTTGAATGGATCATATACCTGCATGGATAAACACACTGCTGAATATAAGCAGCCCAGTCAAAATGAGCATCCCGGCTTGATTCCACCTTCGACCTATTTTGTCTACGGTGAAAAAGACGAATCCTTTGGCTGGAATCTCTATGACACCATAGATGAACTGTGTGAGATAAATGTTCACACCAAATCCGCTGATATTCAAGCTGATCCCGTAATAAGCGAAGGCCACTCCAAACCTGCGAGCAAGACCAGACTTTTGTTATTTTAAAGTTAAACAGTTGCCCCAAAGAACAGTAGTTTCTCATTAACTACCTGGTATCTGACATGGATAATAGTAAAACCATTGTTATCGAAACAGTGTTAGAGTTCAGCAAACATGATGTTGAATAACCTGTTCTTGGCAGTTTAATCTAGTCTAGTCTAGTTAAAAATTTGTTTAGACATGAGATTTGGGCCAATGTTTTCGACGCAATTTTGCTGTTGACCTTTTGAAGGTTGCCTGGATGTCCTTGTTAGACTTTCCAGCAAAAGGTGGAGTAGGTAAGGAGGGGTGGGGGCACAGTGCTTCTGCCACTGAGCTAACCAACTAGGCTGAGGTTTAATAACTTCAAGAGCTGAATTGCTCAAAAACAAAGACTCCAGAAATAATTTAGATGTAGTGTTGTCGTTGGAATATATGTTCTCAATGTAGCTGTAAATTTCCTTAATACAAAATTATGGTGGTGATATTTTTTACTTTTTCTAAATGCACCTCAGAGAAGAAGAAAACAACATCAACATCTGGCTTTCTACAGTTCCGTTTTTGCCATCATAACGGCCAGTGGTTTTAACCTGGGGGATAATGCCACCATTTCAGCCAAGTTTACTGGTTGTAGCTAAGAGACACTGGTAAATGGTAAATATTTGTATAGCGTCCTAAGGACCCCAAAACACTATACACGGTCATCCACCCATTCACACACACATTCACACACTGGTGATGGCAAGCTACATTGTAGCCACAGCCACCCTGGGGCGCACTGACAGAGGCGAGGCTGCCGGACACTGGCGCCACCGGGCCCGCTGACCACCACCAGAAGGCAACGGGTGAAGTGGCTTGCCCAAGGACACAACAACCGAGACTGTCGGAGCCAGGGGCTCGAACCGGCAACCTTCCGATTACAAGACGAACTCCCAACTCTTGAGCCACGATCGCCCACATCGTGGGCAAGTGGGCCTTAACAATGCAAGGCCCTAACTGGGCATTGTTTTAATTTTTGGACTGAATAAACATACTGGTGCATCCCTATCATGGATATAGACAGCTGTCTCCAAATTTTAAAGGTGGATCTTCTAAGGTTGAAGATCAAATATGCATTTCTCGGTTATTAATAATTATTCAATGAACCTCCCAATCACGGACATGGACACCTTTGTCCACAGTTTTAACCATTAAATATGTACTAATGAGCAAATAGTTTATATACTTATGTATAATGTTTTAAATGTTCAAGATAAATACCACACAATGCCACTAATTAGAGCGCGCCTTCTCATTTTGGGTGTCTTCACGAGGTCCAAATAGGAATACTTTCTGTTTTCATCTTCTACAAGTATTACTGTAGACAGAACCTGTAGAGTAAAAAGGAAACTTTATTCAGAGAAAGGAGCTGTGAAGTGTACAGTTCTGTCTTGAAGTTAGCTGATAATGAAAATGTTGTACCTCAGGTTTTAAGTCAGCCATGACGTCCTCTCTGCCGTTAACTGTTGCACATCTACTCAGGTAAAAATGAGCGTCATCCGTTTTTCCATTACTCATCAGCCACCTGGCAGACTCAGGGAGCCACCTATGAGAAAGAGCAATGAGAAGGTTTAGAAGGTCTTTTAAATACTTTTAGAAAGACAGGAACTAGTTTTCCCTGCATGAAAACTGAATAATGATATTAATTTGTCTTTACCACCAACAGAGCATAGCTGGAAACAGTGGGGAGATTACAGCAGCAGTCAGGAATCTCCAATCATTGATCAAATAGGCCATTCCAGGTAGAATAACACAACCAACACTCCAGTCCAAGCTCATTAAAACAGCCACTGTAGTCCGATGCCTGATTTCCACCCATTCAAGACCTATGTGGAGGAATTTTATGTATTTTTTTTTATTAATAATGACACTGATTGAGGTTACTGATAAAAATAAGGATTTTGAGCAAACCACACCTGTATGGGCATCATCTCAAAAATTTTTAATTGTGTCAGTGTGATGTTTCATTTATTTTTTGTTCGATGTGAATGACAGGCAACTCACAGAGGACGTAGGAGCTTATACTAATTCCAGAGAGTCCGAGTCCAGTACAAAATCTCATTGTGGCAAACATTAGGAAATTATAGGACAAAGCGGTTGCAATCCCAAAAATGAAACTTGCCATGTAAGACAACAGAAGTGTTTTTTTCCGGCCAAACCTGTAAAACAAATTTTTAAAAAATTACAGTCAAATAATCTACGGAACACTTAAATGAAAAAAAGCTTAGATTACAACTGTTAAGAACAATTTATTTTCTCCTAATTTTTGAAGTTGAATGTTTGTTTTTTAGCTCACTAAAATCAAAATAAATGTTAGACTTTTGAAAAAAAAATGGAAAAACTAAAAAAAAAATCCTTTGCACTTGGAAAAATAACTAAAATAAAATAAAGGAGGGAAGTAAGGAAATAATATTTGTTTCAGTATTTCTTAATTTGGCAAAACCTTTATTACATACCAATGAGGTATTGATGGACATTTTTTTATTAAGACTCTGGATGTCTACAAGACTGTGAGTCAACTGCTTTCAAAAAATTGTGTAATTTTAATTGTACTACCTGCAATGGCTATCCTAAATCTTGCCTTTGGCTTATACCAACCATGTAGTAATAATTAAAAAGACTAAAACTAAACATTTTCCAACAAGACAAACTAAACTGAAACAAAACAAAATCCTCTGTAGAAACTAACTGAAAATACATTGAATTAAAAACTAAATGTCAAAATGAAATAAAATAAAAATTAATGAGAAAATAAAAAAACGTTAAAATAATTCTGGTCCCATTGTCACAGATGTTAAAAAAAGGCAGACCTAGCCATGCGGTCTGCCTTTTCAAACATTTGTGAATGAACGGGGCATTCAGAAGACCTCTTTGATTTTGAGCGTGATGTAATGGGATGCCACTGTTGCAACAAGTCAGCCGTGAAGTGACCACACACCACACAAGGTTCCAGAGCACCAAGTGCTGAGGGCCATAGCACATGAAAAAAAGGGACACTATTGATAGAAGAACTGCAGAGATCCAAACTTTCTCCAGCATCAACCTGGAGCTGGAACTTTACGGCTTTGCCTTTTGGGCAGTTCCTGTAATGTTTGGGTGGGCTTAATGCCTTGTCAGTATAGTGTACTTTTACATAATTGAAATATTTCTTATCAAGAAAAAAGTGAAATCCCTCTGACCTGAAGTATTTCAAAAAAGGTTGTTTTAAATATAAACAGTACTCTAGATAAAGGACCTTAGTGATGTGTTCTCCACTGTTCTGTCTTTGAGGCCTCTATGGAAGCATCCAAACTCACCTAATAGAGGGGCTTACTCCACCCTACTTGCAAAGTACCTGTGAATGATTACTTTTGGCAATACAATTTTGTTCTTTGCTATCTAGGGCTCATCATAATATTTGGCAATGTACACCCAGATCAATACAGACTTGTCACCATAGTTGTACTTGTACAAAAAAATGTTAAGCATAGTTGATTTTATTATTCAGTGTGTTTGTGCTCGATTTTAAAGGTGATGACATGGACTCACCTGTCACTAAGGAAGCCAAATATTCCTGATCCTAACATGACCCCCACAAAGAATATGGTGGCCGTGGCTCTGTTCATTTTTTTCTTGTCACAAACCAGATCCCACTATAAAGGGAACAGAGACAAAAGGAAAACATAGGCTAATTCACAACTGGTATTAATTTCCTGCTTGTTAAATGGAAATATTGATCCTCACCTCTGTAGCCAGAGTAGATCTGAAGATGGTGGTGTCATATATCCAACCATTCTGGCATGGCATTGTGGGTATGTAGGTTAAGTTGGAAGAATTTGACAGCAGTTGGTACTGAGGCTCTGCAAACATCTGACAGGAGCTCAAACTCCCATCCTGCTCAAAAGGAATATTAACATTGAGCCTCTCTTCCAAAGATAAATTCCTGAAAACACCTCCATTATTCTGAGACCTGATATCACAGTGGTGAGAGGGAATAAATGTAATAAAATTATTCAGCAGGAAGTTAAATGGTAAAGTCAGCCGTGGAATTATTAACAAGAGGAATGTTCTTAGTTGGAATCTTCCAAAGCCATTGATCTCTGCCAGCACATTGTCAAACCTCATCTTGGAAAACAAAAGAGACACAAACTAGAGAATAACCTGAAGCAAATACCTTCAGGAGTACAAAATAGATTTTCATAGTGAGCCACAAGCCGCTTTTATTCCATTAAGCGTTCTTGGTTAACGGTCAGCTGATGTTCAATGTGTTAATTTGTTGTTAGGCAGTATGAACAAAATAAACTGAACTCAGTGAACCGTAGAAGTAAATAAATAATTTTCCAAGAAAGCTGTAACTTTACTGATAAAGTACCAAGGTCCAAAGTTTAAACAAATGTGTATTGGCTGAGTTTAATACAAGAAATTTCCAGTGGGGAAAAAGTCATTCTTTTTTTCCCCCTTTTGGTCAATACCTGTAACATCTTTATGTCTGTTGATCTAGCTTTTAAGAACATTTCTATTTTTTAACCAGAATTTAAAGTTAAGAAGTGAATTTGTTTGGGTCAAGGAGAAAAAATGATGTGGAGCACATTCTTTGCACAATAGCTCTACAATTAGAAACATGCTGTCTCAGAGTGACCCTGAAAAACTAGTTCATACATTTGTTACTTCTAGACGGGACTACTGTAATTTGTTATTATCAGGATGTCCTGATAAACACTTCAGCTGATCCAAACTGAAGGAAGAGTACTGACAGGGGCCAGAAAGAGAAAGCATATTTTTGCTATATTGATATTGAATCATTGGCTCCCTGTTAAATCCAGAATTGAATTTAAAATCCTCCTCCTCACATACAAGGTCTTGAAGAATCTTGCCCCATCACATCTTAATGACCTTATGGTACTGTTTCACCCCATTAGACTGCAGGCTTACTTGTGGTTCCTACAGTATTTAAAAGTAGAGTGGGAGGCAGAGCCTTCAGTTTTCAGGCCCCTCTTCTATGGAACCAGCTTCCAGTTTGGATTCAGGAGACAGACACTATCTCCACTTTTAAGAGTGGGAGGCAGAGCCTTCAGTTTTCAGGCCCCTCTTCTATGGAACCAGCTTCCAGTTTGGATTCAGGAGACAGACACTATCTCCACTTTTAAAATTAGGCTTAAAACTTTCCTTTTTGCTAAAACATTTAGTCGGGGCTGAATCAGATGACCCTGGATCCTCCCTTAGTTTCGGTAGAATAGGTCTAGGCTGCTGGGAGATTTCCATGATGAAGTGTTTCTTCTTCACTCACCTTTTTTACTGTGTTATATGCCACTCTGCATTTAATCATGAATTATTATCAATCTCTCCCATCCTCCCACAGCATGCCTTATTTCCTATCTTAATTGACTCAAGAGTTTTTCCTTCCTACTGTTACCAAATCGCTTGCTCATCAACAGGGGGTCATATGATTATTGGGGTTTTTCTCTCTTTTCTTTGTATTATTGTAGGGTCTTTACCTTACAGTATAAGGTGCCTTGAGGCAACTGTTGTTGTGATTTGGCGTGATATAAATAAATCTATATTGAATTGAATTAACAGAGAATGAAACAAAACGAAGCCAACATCCAAGGAAAAGCCTTGAAATGTCCTTCAAGAAGCCTGGAGAACTATTCCTGAAGATTATTGAAAAATATTACAAGAGAGGATGCCTAAGAGACCTCTTAATTTAATGTGAACAGAGATATATGAAACAAAAGCTCATTAATGTTTCAGTCATTTGTTGAGACAGTTTAATTACCAACTATTACCTACTATATAATTTTATATCCACAAATCATATTTTTCCTAAATGATATAAAGCCAAACTAGAATTTTCATTTAAAAAACCCTTAAATCTGCATTATTTAATGCCTTGTATTTTTTTTAATTAATTTTTTTATTAGCTCATATTTTTACAAATTGACAGATATATATATAGCTTTGGGTTTTAAGCTGAATACATACATTCCCTAACCCTTCTCAACAAACTCACAAAAAAAAAAAAAATTACATCGTGGCTCAAGAGTTGGGAGTTCGCCTTGTAATCAGAAGGTTGCCGGTTCGAGCCCTGGCTTGGACAGTCTCGGTCATTGTGTCCTTGGGCAAGACACTTCACCC